AATTTACCAGTTGCTCCAAGTAAGAAAGATGAGTAACCTCCTCCCATTTGATTTACAACCTCTGAAAGCTAGAGGGTCAACTGTGAGTTGGTTCTGACTGGACAACAACAAACTGGATTGTTAAGTGCTGGAAGATGAATCCCTCAGGTGAGAAGGCGCTTCAAATATCACAGGGGAAGAGCTGCCTCCTCGAAATATGGACTATCTTTTTAAAATTTTTTATTATTATTAATTTTAATGAAAATTTACAGAGATTTGGATTTCCATTCATTCATTGTTGAACATTTCTCCCTTCTCCTCCACCCCTCGCAGTACACTCTTCTATTTGAAAAGTAAAAGAAAAATTCTTTCATTGTTTTACAATCCTTCCCCCCAGGTCCACTCCACTATGCAGCCTTCTTTCTGGACTCCTGTCATGACAATGATACCTAATCACATATCCCTTATAAACAGTTCTCTTCCTCATTCGGCTCAATGAGTATAAATTATTTATCCCATCTTTCTCAGTTTCCCCACAACCCTGATGTCAGTCCTGTCTTACAACAGTGGCACTATGCAGTATTTGTCCCTATGTGACTGAGATATTTCACCCAGCATAATGGAAATAGGGACTATCTTAAAGACATATATGGAATGAAGCTTTCAGCCAGTGAAGGACATTCATTTGCTGATGTGAAAAGTCTCAACATGGGGAGAAAACATTGCAAAATTCATTCATAATTAGAACTTGGAAAGCACAAAGTGTGAATCTAGGGTGTCATGCTTCTTAAAATAGTGGAAGTCCCTCAACAAGATAATCTGACCCAACGGCTGCATGGACTCCACAGCATCGATTTTGAGAATGGCCCTGGTTTGGTGGTACTTTGTTCCGGCATGCATGAGGTCCCTGCGAGTGAGACTCAGCTCACTGGCACTTAACAACAGTCCATGAAGTAGCAACAGCTGGGCAACAAGCTCAGCCGTACCAACAAACATGAAGTTGGTACAGGAATGGACAAAGTTTCATCCTGTAATATTGTGCTTTGTCTGCATGGCAATGAATGACAGTACATGAAGACTTTTAAAGTCAACATAGCCATCACTGATGAGTTCCCAGGAAGCATCTTTAGCATTTACGCTCCTCATTCTTCGGCAATGAGTAGCTGTTATGCCCTATGGCCATATCCACTTCCCTTTTCGTCTCTGAACAGCATTCCAGGTCGTCTGCATAGAGAAGTCTACAGCTAATCTCTTAGCTACTCATGACCTTAGGTTAGTTCCAAGTATTTTAGTGAGCCTGGGAGTCTGTGTTGAAGGCTACAAGCTCTGAATGGACAGACCTAGAACACTTTTCTCTGGTTTTTGTCTCCTCCCACTGTTTGAAGTTCAGTGAAAGATTGGAAATGATTTAGAAGGTCAAAGGAATTGGAAGCAACATTAAAAGGTTATGTCTGTCACATGAGGAGGAAGGGGCACAATTTTCCTGTGACAGGGAAGAAAGAAAATGAAGCCAAGGAAAACCAAGAATCTATGAAATGAAGACCTAATGTGGGTCTGTTGATATGCATCACATCGTTGCATTTGCAGCTTGTGTTAATGGGGCATCAGCTTGGATCTTTGCCAAATACTTGTTTTTTAAAGGCTGTGATTTTGTTCATATATCTACACAGCTTTACTGTGATTTTTATGTACCATCAAGTTGGAATTGAATCACAGCTGACCCTATAGCAGGTTTTCAGAGGCCATAAATTACATGGAAGAAGATTTCCCATCTTTCTCCTTCAGAGCACCTGGCGGATTAGAACTGCATGACTTTAGGTTGATACTACAACTTTTTATCATTAAACCACAAAATCTCCCTACACAACCCATATTTACCAAGTAAATTTGGAAAACCCAGAAAAGTATAAAGGAAGAATGAAACATTAGTATTGCTGCCTTAAAATAACGGACCTCTGGTGGTGTAGTGTGTTGTGATGGTAATAAAAAAGGCCTCACATCCCCAACAATTAGAACACACCAGCTCCTCCAAGGGACAAGGACAGGAAGTCTCCTCCTGTTGAGATTTACATCCTCCAAAACCTGATGGAGGGTCACGATGAGTTGGAATGAACTTGATGTCTATAAGCTCTTTTTCGTTTTGAAAGCTCTAAAATAACTTTGCAATAACCACAAAAATATATTTTAAATAGAACATATAGCATATTGTGGTTATGTGCCATTGACTTAAGACTCATAGTGAAAAATGATTAAGACTCTTATAAACAATGGATTTGAACATTACTTTTTCCAGAGTTGTCCTCACAATACTTGCCATGTCCAAGCCTATTGCTGTCAATCCATCTTGTTGGGTGTCTTCCTCTTTTATTCAATGAGGAAAGCATGATTTTTTTTTCTCCTGAGGGCTGTTACCTCCTGACAACATGTGCAAAATAAATGAAGAGAAGTTACACTGTTATCTTTGTTTTGCATCCCAAGGTATATATGATATTCTCTGTCAATGTTATAATTCAAAGACAGTAACTGTTCTTGAGTCTTCCTTAGTAATTGTCCAACTTTCACATATATAAGAAACAATTCAAGATATCATGGCTTGACTCAGTCTTTTAACTGACATTCTAGTGATAATAAGACTCACAAATTCATATTCACCTATTCCTGTAAGAACTCTCTAGGGGAATCCTATCATTACCTTCTTTACGGGGAACTCTGATGGCCTAACAGGTAAGAGTTCCACTTCCAACCTTTGCAAAGGCAGTTGCTGCTTGGGAAAGAGATCTCCTCTTGAGGGATTCACAGCTCTGACAACTTATTAGAGGATCAGCTATGCGTCTGTTCTGACACGATGGTAACCAGTTGAGCTGAGTTACAGATAAAAGAAATGGAGGGGGAAAAAAGAAAAGGAATGGAGGCAACGACAGGTTAAGTAACTTGTCTCTAGTAACCCAGTCAGGAAGTGAAGAGCTGGCTTGAATCTGGCCTGTCAATTCCACAGCCTCCATGATTTTTTTTTATTGTGATAAAATACACAGGCAACAAAACTATTTTAGCCATTTTACAATGTACAATTTAGTGTCATGTAGTACTTTAACAAAGTTGTGCAACCATCTAGTTCCGGAACAATTTAATCATTCACAGAGGAAAGCCCTTCTCAGTAAGCAGCTGGTCCCCATTGGCTCCCTACCTCCCCTGAAGCCCCTGACAACCACTCAGTTGTTTATTGTCCCTGCAGATTTCTCTCTTCTGGGCTCTTCAAAGAAATGAAAGCAGACATTATCAGACTCTTTGTTGTCTGGCTCCGTTCATTGCAAAAGTTTACCCGTTGTTGTTGTCGTTATGTGTCACAGAGTCGCCTGCAATGCATAGTGACCCTATGTACAATGGCTTTGAACCTGTCCTATCCTAAGCCAGTCTAACTGAATCCAACACACCTATCCTCATTACCCCAGTTACTGTATCAATCCATCTTATCCAGGGTCTTCCTCTCCTGTACTGTCCCTCCACCCTTCCAAGCATGATGTCTTTCTCCAAGGACCGGTCCCTCCTGGCTATGTGCCCAAAGTATGTGAGATGGAGTTTCAAAATCCTAGCCTCTAAGAAACTTGGTTTCACCCCCTATAAAACAGACTTCTTTATTTTCTTGGTGGTACATGGTATGTTCAAGACTCTTCTTCAGCACCATGACTCAATGGCTTTGCTTCTCCTATCATCCTTAGTCATTTGTCCTGCTCTCTGATGCTTATAGCAAGTAATTGTGAAGATCATGGCCTGGATCAGGTGCACCTTAGTTTCTAGAGTGACATCATTGCTTTTCAGTACTCTGGAGAGGTCTCTGACAGCAGATTTTTCAGATGCAATTCATCTTTTGATTCCCTGACTGCTGGTCTCAAGAGTATTGATTGCGGAGCCAAGCAAGCTGTAATTGTTTATAACCTTAATCTCTTTTACATCTATCATGGTGCTGCCTATTGGCCCAGTGGTGAGAATCTTGGTTTCCTGATGTTGAGCTTTAATCCATATTGAAGACTATAGTCCTGGACCTGCAGTAAGCACTTCAAGTCCTCCACAGTTACAACAAGCAAGGTTGTGCCATCAGCATAATGTAGGTTGTTGATGAGTCTTCCTCCAATCCTGATGCCATACTCCTCATAAAGCCCAGTTCCCCGAATGATCTGTTCTGCATCTGAAATCTGATCATTCAGCTGAATGATCTAAAAAGAGATGTTCTGCTTATAGATGGGGTAAGGATGCATCCTTGTCTCACTCTTTTCCTAATTTTGAACCACACAGTGTTTTCTTGTTCTTGTCTGAGGACTTCCTCCTAGCTTTTGCATGAGCACAATCAACTGTCTGGGATTTTCATTCTCCTCAAGGTTAGCCACAACTTGTTACACATGTATCAGTACTTTATCCCTGTTGATGATTAAACAATATGCCATTGTATATGGAAAATAAAATGCACATTAAAATAAATATAAAGAACAACGTTTGTTTGAAGAGAACACAAAAGGATAGAATTTCTGTTTAATTAATTTTTGCAATTTATTAAATTACAACTGATTATGATTAATTTTACAACTTGCATTTAAAGTTGATTGGCAGTGAAATAAACATTGCACACCACATCGCCCCACCAAAGTCCTCTCATCCTGGAGTCACTGGATAAATTTGATTAAATATCATATTATTAAATTATAAAGGCAAACAAAATGCAAACACGTAAGATCGGAATAAATGCAAACGAAGACACTGCTGGAGCACCTCGAAGAAGTTTGGAAGGACTTTCCTGAAAGCCCAGGAACTGTGGCCGGAGAACTACAATTCCCAGAGTGCTAAGGAGGATGACGTAAGTGGCGGCGACGAAACTTGCCGGCTAAGACCCGCCTTCTTGTCCCAGCGGTTGGTTATTCCAGTTCCGGGTTTCGGGACTTCTGTTATTTCATTGGCTGAAACCCCAGCGATGTCAAAACGTAATTTTAGGGCGCCCAGGTTCATTCCAGCCCACTGCTCCTCCTGGAAAGATGGCGGCAGAAGCAGCTGGTGGAAAGTACAGAAGCACTGTCAGCAAAAGCAAAGACCCCTCGGGGCTGCTCATCTCTGTGATCAGGTGAGGGAGGCCGGAGGCAGGGCAGGGGACAGAGCTCAGAGGCACGAATTCGGCTTAGGAGGGGAAAAGGGTTGTCGGGGCACGCCCTGCCGACCCGCCCCTTCCCGCCCTGTTCCCCTCTGCCACTCCCTTGGGTCTGGGCAGGTGCACTTGGTCTCTGGGGTTGGGCTGCAGGGGTGATCCCTCCCACAGTCTTTAGATATGTTGCTCTTTCTTGGGGGCAGAGCTCTTGTCAGCGTCTCCAAGTCCCCAAAGCAGTGAGTGTGGGGCTGAAGGTGAAAGGCAGGTGAAGGTGTGTTCATTCATCCAGGTGACATTGTCTGGGATCGCCTGGAGCAGCGTGCATGGCCACCTCCCGGGCTGCCTGGGGCCCTGGGTGGGCATCCAGCAGACTTGTGCCTGAGTTCATACCCTCCTGCCAGAGGTTTTTACACTTCAGCTACCTGTGACTGGTCAGCTTTCAGGACCAAAACTTGTCACCTACCTAGCGGGGGGTCCATAGGCTTGACATTTTCCGTGCCCCTGCCTTTTCCTGCCTTCCTCAACTTCTTAAAACCACAGCAAGACAAAACTGAATTTCCACATCCCCTCTATGCCCCACAGTATGTGTGACGGGGCTGGTGGACCTTGTAGCGTCTCTCTTTGGTGGACTGATTTATTTCTAGGTAAAATACCTCAATCACTTTTTACAGGGACTTTTTCGGGTACCAATGAGGATGACACTGGGAGTGACTGTTAAAAAGCAACCTGAATAAACTGTATTAATGACACTTTCACATTGTTGGCATTTGAATTGCAGTTTGGGTGTTTTCCATTAAATGTTTCCCCTCCTTTTTACTTCCCCTGTGATACACTTTTGACTGAGTTCTTGAAAGGCCCCAGGAGTATCCTTAGCTCAGGCCCCAGAATTTCACCTAAGAAGTATTTGAGAGATATATTGAATGAATGTTGTTGCTGTTGTGATTGCCCTTGAGTGGAGCATCACTCACAGAGACACTATGAACAAAAGACCTGAAGCCTTTCTGTAACTGTTGTTGTTTCTCAAAGTTCATAGAGTTTCCAGGCATGTTGTTTAGGAAGTGAATATCACTCCTGAATGAATGAAGAAACCAAAGTTTTAGAACAGTCAAACATTTCATGGACTTACTTTGAGGTCCCTGGTGGGCTGCTTCAGGGAACTCCGATGGCCTAGTCAGTAGGGGGTTGCGATGCCCCCCAGATGTGGGAAGTTTGAATCCGCCAGTGGCATAAGTGAGAAATATGGGCATTCTCCTGTCATGCGATTTACAGCCTCTGGAAACCCACTGGAGAATCAACTATGAGTTGGTTCTGACTTGAAGATAGTGAAGTTTTTTGTTTGTTTGTTTCAAGTGAATTGGGATAGTGCTTAGCTGGTTGAGTTGCCTGCCCAAAGCCCTTGCTTCTCTGGCAGCTTATATCCACAAGTGGCTCCGAAGGAGGAAGATGGACGTTGTCCTTCCATGCCATTTATAGCCTCAAAAACTGACAGGAGAATTGGACAGACAAGAAGTGTGAGCCATTATAATTACTGTACAAGTTTAGGAAGAATCCTCTTAGTTCTTACCATTGACGGGAATTCTCCAGAATTTATCTTTTCAAGTATCAGGATGGAAGGCCAATTATGTATTTACCTAAACAGTATGTATTTCACCTCAGTTTGTTTTGTGGTGCTGGCCCTTATTAGGTGTTCAGTAAATACTTGTCATATCCCGAGGTTTGCAATGATGAATCAATATAGAGGCTACCCTTGAGAATATGATCTACTCAGGGGATAAAATATGTAACTAAAGCCGATGATAAAAGGCTAGAAGAGGGAAGAGATTAAACATGAGAATCCAGCAAATGAGAGAAGGTAGGATCCGGATTCAGGTTGATTTCCTCAGCTGTGTGCTGCATGCTCTGCACGTTTTACCTATTTTTTTTTTTTAAATACTGTATGCCAGTTTCTTCTGCGTCCGTCAGATTTGCTCCAAATGTCATATATTTCATAAAAGCAGCAATATCAAAGTAAGCATTTTTCAACTGGTGGCGATTCAAAGACCTGCATTGCCCTTGATCATGGTTGGCATTCAGTCCTGTTTCCCGGCGCAGCCCTCTGCGGGTGGTGTGGAGGATGGCTGTGGTGGTGCATTTCTTATGCCCATCTGTACTGTGTTGACTTTATCACCATGATTTAGACCTAGACATTTTTCAGATTGACTCCTGCTGTGTGGTGTTTTCCCTTTTTGTTCCTTGTTCTTAACCACCTGGAGTGCTAGTGTTTGTATTTCTACGGGTTTGAGCTTAAGGAAAATGTTGGGGCTTGCGTGAGAGTGTGGCTAACTTTTCCCTTGTTAGTCCTTTCTGATGTGCTTTTGACTTCCTGGGGACACAGGCAGTGGCAGTGAGAGGAAGTGTGCAGGGTTTACTCTGTGTTTGGGACTTGAAGGTCCTGCCGGCCAGGAAGAAGTGAGTGGGGCATGTGTGTCTCTTGTTTCTAAACTAGGCTGCAATTCACAAGGTACTGCTTTGTGTATCTCTCTTTGTACTGTTTGTTGAATTCTTTTTTGCAACATTGTATTTTTAAAATTTGTAATTCTTTATATGGAGAATTGTTAACCTCCTATTCTTAATTATTGTTAAATTATTTGAGATTGAAGCTTTCCTGATTGCTTTAGTGAGAAGTTTAAAAAAGAAAAACCCATTTAAAAAAATATTCATGCTTACCCTGGAGGACACTATGCTGAGTGAAATATCTCAGTCACAAAAGGACAAATATTGCATAGTGCCACTTTTGTAAAACAGGACTGACATCGGGGTTGGGGGAGACTGAGAAAGATGGGATGAATTATGTATACCGCATTGAAACAGATGAGGGAGAGAACTGTTTAAAAGGGATATATGATTAGGTATTAGTGTCATGACAGGAGTCCAGAATGAAGGCTGCATAATGGAGTGGGCTTGAGGGGGGAGGGATTGTATAACAATGAAAGAATTTTTCTTTTACTTTTCAAAGAGAAGAAAGAGCTGGAGGGGAGGGGTGGGCAGGGAGAAAAGTACAACAATGAATGAATGGAAATCCAAAATCCCTGTATCTTTTCATTAAAATTAATAATAATAGAAAAAGAAAAACATCTTCATGTGTATAAACTGTCGGTAGTCCTGGAAGTGAACCTCGCTCACACCGGTGTTCTTTGTTTGTCACAAAAATGCATTACTTGCTAGTGATGGAGTCTGTCTTCTGAGAAGTTTGATAATTTTAGTTTAATTTGGAAAACTAGCACCGGGCTGTTTGAGGTTTTTTTTAACAGTAAATGTTACATTCATGAAATATTCTGCTCTCCCTTCACTGCCCTTGAGTCAGAACGGACTCATAGTTGACCCTCCATGTTTGCAGAGGCTCTAAACTGCATGGGAGACGATTGACCCCTCTCTCCCCTGGAGCAGCTGGTGGATTTGATCTGTGAGGGGTTCAGCCTTTGGGTTAGTAGTGCAGCCCCCTGCATCCCACACCACCAGAGCTCCCCAGGGCTCAGATACGCAAACATCCTCATTGCCTTAGGGAGCTCAGGTGGATAGAGCCCCCCAGCTGCTCTGCAGAAGAAAGATGGGCAGTCTCCACCCATGCGGTGTACGGACGCTGAAAGCCCACTGGACGGTCAGCTATGAGTTGATCCTGATTTGATGGCACTGAAGGCTGAAAACCTCCAATAACAACAGATGATTTAAAGGTATACTAGGCATACACATAAAGAATAACCAAATCTCACTGGTATTTCCAGCCAAGGTTCTAAATAGTTAATCAGTGACCCTCAGTTTTGCTAGTGTGATATTCCATCACTCTAAAGCATTTAAGGTGCGCCTGATCCAGGCCATAGTTTTTGCGGTTGCATGCTATTGCGTCAGAGAGCTGGACAATTACTAGGGTTGATGCCTTTGAGCTGTGGTGCTGGAGAAGAGTGTTGAATATACCATGGACTGCTAGGAGAATAAACAAGTTTGTCCTAGAGAGGGTGAGACCAGGCTGCTCCTTGGAGGCAGGGATTCTGAAGCTTCATCTGACATACTTTGGTCATGTTATGAGGGACCAGTCCTTGAAGAGGGACATCATGTTTGGGAGGATGGAGGGGGACAGCGCAAGAGAGAGAGGAAGACCCTGGATGAGATAGATTGATTCAGTGATTGGCGTAATGGGAGTGGGTGTGTCAGAGACAGTGAGGTTGGCAAAGGATAGAACAGGGTTTAGGACTTTTTTTACATAGGGTTGGTATGAGTCGGAAGCGACACAGTGGCGTGTAAAAAAACAGCAACAACAAAACATTTAAAAGCCAAAATAACTGAAACATAAAAGAGAGTCTAATTGTAATGAAAATTTTATAAATGAGTAGCCCATTATTTCCAAGGGAGCTCTGGCCTAGGGAAAGGAGTTGCACTGCCAGCCTGAAGACAGGCAGTTCAAATCCACCGGCTGCTCCACAGGAGAAAGATGGGCAGTCTCCTTCTGCATGACGTACCTCCTCTGAAAGTCCCAGGAGGGTCAGCTACCAAGTCACTTCCGACTGGACAGCACGTAACTACAACTTTTCTAAAATGTTGAGACTTTGAGCCTCATTAACAAAATTTGTTAAGTCTATTGGATGAAAATATTTGGAGACACTGGGATCTTTGAAAGGGTAGACCCCCAGCATTTTGCTGAAGAGGGTCTGAACCTGGGAGGAGGGCTTTGATGGAGAGACTTCCAAGAACCCCCGGTCAGCATTTGGCTCAGTCCCATGCAGAGAGGCCTGGTTGGTGCACCTGCCAACCCGTCAGTCTCAGGGAAGAGCTTTTGGTTTTAAGTCTTTACTGGCCCTTTAAAGTGGACAGAGTTCTGATTACCTCCTGATGCCCATTTTGGGTGGTTTTACACATAAACACACCATTTTCTTACTTTCCTGTTGATTTCCCCATCTTAACCCTCTCTTTGGTGTGAAGTTGGTGGAGGCAGCCTTTCTGTCTCC